TGAGCATAGAACTACCTGTGAGCCGAGAAGGTTTCGCCCCCTGTGGACGAAGGCAGGCAAAAAGATTCTACTATTAGATCAGCGAAGAATGGCTATGAGTGGCTTCTCCGGACGCTGCCAGAAATAAGAAATGCAAGCGACTGTAAACTTGCATGATATGGAAGGATAGTTTTAGCACGTATCTATCTTCACACGCCTTTGGGACTTCAGCCTGATCCACAGACCGCCGCAATCGTGGACTACGAAGAGCAAGGAAGTATGAAGCTATCATAAAAAAACTAGAAAAGTAGGGAAAGCTCTATTATTCCTTTTTCACCTGCAGGTTTTGTCGTCATGTATGCCAACTAAGGCCCGATGGCAACTCCAGAGCGCAAATGCCCACACACTGTTGACCACGACAGGCAGAATGATGACTTCTCAGAGAGCTCTTCAACTCACCTCCCGGAGTGTATTTTTATCAGAATTATTTCGGAGACTTCAATAGGGGATGCGTGGCTGCCCTCAGTCCATGAAACTGAACATGCGAAGGGCGCTAATAACCTGACGAAATTCTCATCAAAGAATACCATATTCATTAGGCTGGAAAGAATCACTTGTGGATATCCGGTGTAGATTTCATTCTGCAGTAGAAGCCAACAGTAGAAGCCGACATGGACTAGAAGGCTGTGGTAACCTTGTTCGGAATGATCAGCAGTGGTGGTATCACGAAGTTTGAGTCCTGAATTTATGAACACCCAACCACATTTGGAGGACTGAGCATCTTGATTTCAGCCTCTTGATTTTTCAGCATGGACAGACTTTTACAGGATGAATTTTCAACCAAAGCCTGAAAATAATCCCCTTACTTTCCACAAATCATGAACAATTTTATCGGAAGCCAAAAGCCACTTGAACTTTCAATCCGAAACGCCAACATTAGAGCCAGTCAGCACCGAGTCACGTGACAGGAACACGTGACAGGATCGAAAGATGGTTGGTGCACATCATATGTAAAGGTGATTTGATCGCACTCCTGATCAGCCCCCGTGACTAAACAGAGGACTCCGAGACGATTTTTCCCAACTAGAATGCAAAGAATGTAGAGTGCTTGTGGGCCTTTCAGCACAGGATAACAGAAAATTCAGAATGGAAGCATTACTTGAAGCTTCATGCACTTCCCCTTAGTACTCGCATAATATTTTTGGCATGATGTAATAATACGGGTGGCTGTTAGCTGACCATACAGTATTTAATATCACTCTAGAAGGGCTGAAATCTGGCGCTCGTGCATCCAAGCTATTGCCTTCAATGCAGAGCGCCTTTTCCAACCCCACCCCACTTGACAGCCCACTGTACCTATCCTCCCCCTCCAAAAAAAACATCGATGAACGAAACTGCGGCAGCTACAACCACTTTACGACGAGTAGTTATTTATTACAGCTGACAAAGATGATGATAATGATTAGGCCCCAAAACACACCATGATATCCTACAGTGGGGTGGCCCACCCGTTGATAACCTGGCGGTTATTACAGCTGACAAAGATGATGATAATGATTAGGCCCCAAAACACACCATGATATCCTACAGTGGGGTGGCCCACCCGTAAGTTGATAACCTGCAGAGGCAATCGGTCTACCTATGTCAATATTTCTGGAATGCTGAGTTAGTTATATTCAGCCTGAATACACCGCGAATACATGGAGACTAGATTTGAAGCCTTGTAAGCTAGTAACCGAGTTTTATGGACAGGTTATTCCGGAAAACCTGTCGACGTGTAGAGGAAATCCGGGTGTTTGTCACATGCGATCGGTTCAGTGAAACTAACCAAATATTAAATGAAGGGCTGAAACGTTCACACAAATAGACTGACATCAATAAAAAGTTGGTGAAACGCAACCCCATAGCAATAATTAATGAATAGAATATTTACTGGACAGCCTCAACGCGTCGAAACCTGAGCAGGGAGCATGAAGCGCGTGGTTCTGACCGTACCAAGTTGCTGAAACTGATTGCAATACTTAAATCAACCGTAATCTCCGACATGCGCAGCAAGTCATGCAATATAACTACAACGAAGTGATCACCTTGACAATCAAACATAGACAAAATGCAGTGAAGTGCAACGTTTTTACAAGCTGGTTGCCACTACGATCAGTCAGTAAGGAAAGTAGGTCACCATGGAGGTGATTCCAAATTTGTGGATGGACCGACCATTTACTGGTCGTCAGATTCTTGAAGAATATATTGAAACACTTGGAACACTGCAAGCGTTACTCTTGACAGTTCAGCAGTTTGACGAAGGCAGGATAGAACAGGCCTAGCATTGATGAACACGATGATATAAAATCACCAGGTACATATACTGTCAAAAAATTCTAAAGACGAGGTGCCCACAGCGAGATCAATGAGGTCGAATTTTAAATACGTAAATTCGATACAAGATAAGTGTCTACAACTGAGTGACCGGTGGATCATCCACCCGGTAAACAGGAAATCGCAGCCCCAACTTAGGAGCTGAATCTTACTTTCGCAGCACGTACCTAAGCTTGAGATTCAGGATGTGAGCAATCTGTCAACTTTTCACAATAATTAGATTTCAGTCAACGAAAGTGTTGTTAGTGTATTACGTTAGACACAGTACAATTCAAAAACGAGGCCCATAAATAAAGTTGAGTAGTTAGCGTATGATAGCAAATGCTAAAGTCGTATTGAAATGATAAGCTCGGAAAGCCTAAAGATAGTAGCCGGCCGGACAGACCACTAGATCGCCTCAATCAGACTCCAAATCATCAGGTAAACTAAAAGTTCTCCAATGTGTCACGCCGTGATCCTAAACGGAGAACGCTCTGTGGAGTAGGACTGAGATAAGCCTGAGAACTGAAGTGAAGCTGCTATCCGTACTGCTCTCTGGTAGAGAGGCGATACATGGTCACTGTGGTGAAGAATATACTGGGGCTTTTGAACATTGATGGCGGATGATTATTGAGAACAGAGCCGATTATCGAAGTTTTCAGTGAAGCAGTTCGATAACGCTATTTCGGTATCAGATGACGTCGCCTGCAATGATTTGGGCAATACGGTCGCAAGGTGGACGATGAGTTCCGAACTCAAGTGCCCGTCAAGATTAGTGTAGTTGCCGTCAAGCTCAAATGGAGACATGACCCGATATGTTCAAGTCAGAAAATGAGTATCTCAGTCTCTAATCTACATTTGATGTCCGCCGAGGTGGGGACGGGATGCCATCCATGCGGATTTCACCACCGGTCGTCAAATATGGGCAGCTGTGATGTGAGACAGTCATGGAGCTGACTCACGCTCCCGTAGAGATCAGCAGCAGTAAAATACGGTAGGCTGCAAGACACTGTGCTTGTCTGCAGTCATGCGTACAGCAAGAATAATCACCACTTGGAACAGCGTTATCAGAAACTCACTCGGCCGAGGAGCGTACATGTGAAATCGAATTTTGGGCCTGTTTTGTTGACCATCTTTCATGCGCAGCTGGGTCCCACTGACCCAGTACAATCACTTGCGCACGTTTGCCTTGGTTGTTCTGTAGATAAGAGAAATATATAAACATGTAATCGTGCATTAACTGTGTGTAATCGGTCAACTATTAGGGGGAATAACGAAATAATCCAAGGGATTGAATAAATAGCCAAAATGCCGCGAACCCGAATGAATTTTCAATGTTGGTATTATCAGCAACAAATGTGAATAGTTGGGTGGGTATATGCTCGCCGGAGTTTTCAATACTTCACAAGCGTTGCACAAAACGAACAGTGAACACCTTGGCTTAAACGGTGTTCCCAGAGTAGATCTAACCTCATCAAAATGGTGCGAAATGTGGCGGACAGAGTGTCTTTTCGGAAACGAGCATAAACAGCATTTATAATAATAGCAATACCGATGGTCTATCTGAGGTCAGAATACAACCAAATATATCGCAAAAGAATGCCATGTTCCTATGATATACTCACAACATGATACTGAGTGACATTACTTCTCAAGCAAATTTCGTACTGCCACCAACCAGCTGCCCGTCCTTGGAGGCAGAATTTTCCACTAATAAACTCTAGAAAACGTGTGCGATATGCACTGCCAGGCATCGTCGGCTTGCTTGTCGGTTCTGCCGCTTTACCCGTATCACCTCGATTGGCAGAATCCCCATCTGAAGATGAAGTATCTTCTTGACTCATGGTATCTTCATCGGTCTGAAATGGGTAGATTTAGTAAAGCCACGTTAAATATGCCGACCGTAAGCAGAGGGGAGCTATGACAAGAGCGAACTGTGATGGACCCGGAGTTTACCGGGTGAGTAGAAACAACTTACAAAAAATCGTTGTCATCAAGAACTGGACAAGACAAAAGGTATGCTTCAGGCTGCTGTTATGTGACCGATTATCACTAGATTACCTGCAACCACAACATATTGGGCATTGTTGCGGTAAAATAGGTGTTAATTTATGTTCAACACGATCAGTTTGGACCAGAAAACCGTCCTAACTACGTGTCTAAACCTTTGTTTGAGGGCTAGCACAAGAATCTTTCCAACAAATCTTCCTAGCTGCTACTTAAAAAAAACCGCCTTGAAATAAATGAGTCGAATGGGATGAGGTCTGATAAAACTGACAAACCGATTGTAAGGGAGCAAGGATAACACACGTAAATGTGTGAGAATGAGCTAGAACGCGTTGGATATTTCCATAGAACTGCGTTCCACTCATTGGACTACTCAGTCCAACAAACTGAAAAAAACCCATTGGTATGGGATAGCTTCCGCATAACGATGGGCTATAGCCAATCCACTGTTTTTCTGGTAACAAGGATATGGTGGTACCTCGTGTCAATAGCTGACCATTAGCGGACGAAGCATTCAAGTTTTGAACTGACTTCCAAAATCTCACGTAAAAATTGCAAGCAGAAAAGCGTACACAATTTACGACGATAATGTACCCACACAATACAACCGACCAGTGCACGATCTGAGTTACACAGCACCGATATGGTGCCAATGACCTTCACGAGTCGATATCTAAACAGTCTACTTTATATTGAGATAACTGGCATCGTGATACGACCAACCGAAGATTGCGGCTCACCTCATTGCTTTCATCGGTATCAATAGTTCGGATGCGGTACACAATCAGGTTGTTTCTCCGGTTCGCTTCCACCTAGGAACATTAGAGGAATTAGAGCTTTTCTTTTTCAATAAAAAACTAAGTGCGCCTGGACTCAATAAAAGTACGAAATGTACATAAACAAGACCTATACCCTGTTGGTCCTAATAGGCTTGGGGTCATGTTACTAATGATATCAAGTTCCGCACCAACAAGGGATCCTGTGAACAACAAAATACAACAAAGTACATTGCACCAGTTCTAAACATCTGGCTGACGTACAGTACTTTTTCAAACTATTCCCATTGAAGGGAATTCGATGCACACCGATATGAACTTTTCTTCGAAGAACATGCAAATCAAATGCACCGCCACAATAAAGCAGAGGCCATTGAACTATGGTCCGGTCTGCGTCGACCTCATTGCGAATACGATTCTCGATGGGCAGCCGTGCCACCAAAACTTAGGTTTTTCTCATTAGCACCATACACACTAATAATTTAGTCTCAGTGAAACACTAATAACTGTAGCCATCAGGTCTTAATGTGTCCGAATCACATAACTGACAGCAACATAAGGTGAAAACAGCAGCGCTTCACCGCTGTATAACCATGCAAAGTTACATGGATAAAACTTTAGAATGAAAAGAAAAGAATGGGACAGGAATTGAATCTAGGACGAAACTGCCACAAACATCCGAGATACCTAACCACTGACAACCTGTTGCGGTAGACTTCGTTTGACATAGGTTATACTACAAGGAAACTGGAGTGACATGCAACATACAACTGTACTTACTCTGATATTCTTCAGTGCAACGTTTCCAAAGAGCGCCGCCAGGTTGCTGATACCATGCTGTGACAACTGCTCTTGTTGTTTTTCGAATTCCATGAGGGAAACCGGTTTAGCTACAGCTCCTTCTCGGGGTGCGCACGAGAGTGGCTTTACAGGACGCTTCGGAAGCTACAATAATGCAAAACAGACTTTGTGTTTTGATGGCTATGCAGAAGCTAGGGTTTTGCAGATAAAATAATAGCAGATATGAGGTTTGAACGGCATCCATCAAACCCTTTCTCAAAGAAACAGCTAATTAGGATACCTGTATAACTAGCGATTATCAGAATGTATAAACTGACAGAAGGATTACGAAAAAATACAGGACGCTGGATGGATAAGATGGCCTATAATGTGGTGCAACCACTCGGTCACCATTTTGAGGTATATCTCGCACCCGCTGGTATGATAGACTGGCTGAAGCATTTTTAGGCAAGAACAGAAGGAAACACTAAAGAGTAAGCAGTAACATGAATAACAACAGGTAATGATTAATAAGCAGTAAGAATAGCTGAAAGTAGTTAAAGGTGCGTATCCTTGTGACTCAGTGCCGTTGGATGTAGGTTTGTGCAGAAACTTGTTAAATATCGACATACCACATAAGGATGAACACCGCAGTAATCAAGCTGAGGAGAGTTTGCTGAGAAAAGGTCTCCCATCTGAATGAGACCGGCTAATGTGCCGTTTCATAGGGCTAACTGTGTCTAAATGAACCAACCAATGGGGCTGAATATGCTCATGAAATCACACGACACCAGTTTGATTATCCATGCTAAGCGCAATGCTTTTAGGGGTAGTAAAGGGTATTAAGCATCGCTGATCCCGTAAATATGGACAAGTGGGTCATCTGAAGAAAACGCCTTACCACCTCTATACTCCTATCACAGAGGGACAGCAAAATTTCGTCTCCAGATCACCTTGCATTGTGACTACTTGTAAATAGGCAGCTCACCGCTCCCCTTTGGGCTATTTTAACATGCTCTACCACCAGTCGGTCTAATCCGCAGAATCATCATGACAATGGAGCCCGACCATCAGGTCATTGTGGCAGTTCTCGATTAGGCACATTCTATCCGGCTACCAAGTCATGTTACCGGAGCTTAAGTCCATAAACCGTTGGTCGCAAACGAGGTGTATAGAAAATGGAAGCCGAGGCGTCAAATTGCAAAAGCTTCGAGGATCCAACTTACTTTTCGGACACAAATAAGCTACTTGGACCACCGTAGAATCAAAGTTCCAAATACATAATCATTCCGACAACACCGAAAGTGACAGATCGAAAATTTCGGGTTTCGCGGTCTTTCAGTTGCCCCAAAAGCCGTGTCCAGAACTTCACCGCTAGCTTTCTCCGTCACTGTTATCCATATCAGCCCTCCCCCTTTAGATGTCAAAATTAAAATGATGGCTCAGTGATGAGAGCGAGAAATAACTAACCTGGAGGTCAGCGGTTCGAACCTGGCTTCTGCATATCGACTTTTCCTGCCTAAGTTCGGGAAACCTGGGCGTATCCCAGTCATCTGGCTTCATTCGGGTGGCATGGTGGCTAGGCACTGAAAAGGTGTTACAACTGAACGACTAAAATGAATTCTACGATCTACTTCAGCAGGTAGTCGGTCGACCACCTAGAGGTTGTACGAAGCTATGAGGGGTACCGACAGTCATCCTTTGGGGCGGTATGCATGCCCAAATCGGTCGCCTGAGTTAGTTGAAATCACATATGTGCGGTCGCTTCAGAAAAGATATTCGGCGCACGGACAACGGAAAGCGACTCCTTCAGAGGTGTTTTGACCGTTACGAATTTTCAACATAAGCGGTCGCAGCACCTAATCCGGTGGCTACCAGTTACAAACCAACTATGAGACCATTGGACCATGTGCCTAGCAGCCACCGATGGAAAGTCAGAATACGAGGCTGCCGTTCGTTGTTGAGTGCACTCAATTCCGCTCACGCCAAGGAAGCAGTGCGCCTGACAGTTCACTTTCCCTGCGGATTTCGCAAGTCAGTAAGAAGCATGACAATCCATCATCTTCGGAGAACCGCAATAGCCCGTCAGTGTCAGTCTTAGCTAGCTCTACTGTTGTTTACAGAAAACAGACACCATACGAGCAAAAATCGAAAATCCTTCAGCTGTAGCACGCTTTCGGTCTTTAACTGCCATGCCAACGAAAGTTGCGCGAAGGCTGGGATACTGCCAGGTTGCCCAAGCCTAGACAGGGGAGTCGAGAGACAGAGGTCAGGTTCGAACCACGGACCTTCCGGTCAGTAAATTCGCGCTCCAACCACCTGGGTCATCTCGCCCCCTCTATACGGGTAGCGAGCACGTGGATGAATTACGGCAAAACGTGGAAGCAGTTATGCTAGAGGCGTTCAGTTTCGTGTCTGAATTCTCCTGCACGACTAAATGACAATTAGATACCGTCCAGATCGCTAGTCCTGACTGATTCAGGAAAGCCACACCAGCTGGCAATGTGTGCGATGGCGCACGCAAATCCCCCAAACGTCAAACAGTGAGGAAACTTAGGAAGGGTCGAGAATCAGGTAGGCTTTTTCCACCTGAAACAGCCGTGCCCATACCATTTAGTAAGGTCGACTGGCCAGAAAGAAGGTAACCTTTGGCAAGAAGAGTAGTTAAAAACGGTTCAGTAATCGTAAAATTGCCGACTGGAAAGATGGGTAAGAAACTTCGAAGAACAAGACAGGTGGCCTCTTGCAGCACAGCCGCTCGTGACATTGCGTGCGGCTGATTGAAATGTAAGCCCTAATCACCCGTCAGAATGAATAGATTAGGAAACATGCCCGGTGAAATGGGGGGGGGCAATAGGACCGGACGGTCTGTATCCAGCCCTCTTTAAAGTAGGCCGAGAACCCCTGGTTACCCATCTGTCAAAACTTATATGACGTGAACAAAAAGCCTACAGAGTGATATCGACAGTCATTTTATCCCCAAAAATGGTACGCTAGCAGTGTTGAAACCATCGAGGCATTAAGCCGGTTATCGAAGGGTGACTGAACACAGAGAAGCGCGTCCGCGAAAAGCAAGCTGGATTCCGCCCTCCTGGATTAAGTATTCACTCTTGGACGGATCCTGTAACAGCGAAACTGCTTCCAGCAACCACGGATGGTGGCAGTTCTCGAACTGAAAGATGCTACCGACTGTCGACCATCAGACACTATGGTAGTGTCATAAAAGCATGAGCGTCCCCACAAATTATTGGCTAACCATTAGGCGCTGTACACCAACACCAGTAGACGCCTGGAGGTTTGCCAAATGCTCGCACCTGAGTTAACTGTATCAGGTGGTTCCAGACAAGACTGTCTTCTTTTACCTTTTCAGCGTCGTCATCGATATGCCTACAGAATATGCACTCCTAGCCCATAATGCCTGTGGGGTCAAAAATGCTCCTGGAGTGTTCGCTCATACATCTCAAGTACGGAGACGAAATAGATTTCTTGGGCCTGAGGCAAACGTAATACAGACGATATCAAAGAATCCAAAAAGTTCTGGATCCTAGCTTAGCTTGTTCCCTGTACCCGCAAAGTGAAGGGTGCTGCTGCAAGAGTGAGTGAGCCCGAGCCTTATGAGCCGAACATGAACTCAAAATTCATGAAGCTCATGAGCATGAGCAGCTGTGTCAACACCGGTGATCTAGCTTAAGACTGTAAGACTGCTTTGGAAAGACTGTCAGCTTTCATCGCCTGTGGAACAGGCTTGAAACCAGCTCGTTTGTCAAGGATCGAGGCTATGGTAGTGCGGTGCGCTCCATATCGTTTTAGGTAGGAAACCTAGCCGCCGCAAGATGAGGACGTTAAACCCCTTAGTGTTTGACTACCGGTGTCTTCCGAGAATTGCACCAGTCTAGTTGAGGCATCGGATGGGTAATGTTGAAGTATGTCAAATTGTATCCGGGAGAAATAAGGCGCCAGCGACAGAAAAGTGGATTGCGCTGAATAGGATGCGCCGGCTTTGTTAGGTGTCCAATGTACTAGTCAACTGATTTTCTTGGACAGCCCTTTTCACGCACGCTGCGGGTGGAAAGCAGTGAAAGTCAAGCAATGAATCGCCAGCAAATTATGGAAACGGTTAACAGCAAATCCAGTTGTACTGTTCGTTGCCGTTTGCCTGGATAGAAACCCCGACACCGGACACGCCAAAGGTTGGAGAAACTGACAAGCAAGTTCCAGTCATGCGTTCATGCATCGAAGCTGACCTTCAATGTATACCCTCCTCTCCCTATCTCTGATGAAGGGTTAGCTGATAACCGTCCTATAGACGCATGGATTATATCAGCCGCCAAATCCAACAAGCAGCTATCTATCCATATTTCCCTAGATCATCGGCGAACGAAATTGCAGCAGCTATAAACACTACACAAGTATACGATTTTCACACCTGGAGATGATGGTGCCATTCGAACTACTATTGAAGGCAACTTATCATTACACAGTAAACGGTGGCGGTTAAGTAGGATCTTATACAGTCCCAGTTTACATTATAACAATTCAAGGGTGCTCATGTAGCTGAGTCTAGGTTTACACAGACACTATGTGAGTGTATTTGCGAATTTATCAGAGAAGGCATTATAACCCATGCTCACCATGCGACAAATGGCTCGTTGGCTACGTAATTTTGCGGTCAGTGGTGAAAAACTGGGCGATGGGAAATTACAACGACCCGCGAGCGGCTCCTCTTTATCATAATATTGAGCCCTGACCGAAATGAGACGCGTGGCAGATTGCTTTTCAGACTTAACATTCTGTCAGCATGTGATGAAGTAATACCAAACAGCAGATAGGCCACTTACCCGGTATGCCGGGTGTGAGCACAAGTATCTTGTCGCAAACACCACTTGGTACTGACAGGATTCTACCTCAGAGACCTGGATAATCCTCCCATCTTCATCTTCGAGACAAATGTATAGAACTGAGGTGAGACGACGCTCGCCAGTCAGGTCACATGGTGTTCCATCGACGAACTTGACGACGTAGTACGGGTACGAAGAACCACCCAGCAGAATTCCCGGTCGCTAAAATCGATGAAAAACCCCGAAAATTGGGAACTCACCGATGCAGAATGTGGGGAACCTGCGGAAATTTCTAAAATTCGAAAACGTTCAACGAACAGCAAATACATACCTTTTTTATGATAACCGAGAAAGTACTCCTGCGTTTTGCTACTCTTTGTTATCTGTAACCACGTTAGCATTGATTTTTACCTTATCTGGTAAGAGTTCCTCATGGAACTGACGAACATAATTCTTGTGACATAATTCATAACTCCAGTAAAACTCCGCTCTTGTGCTGCACGGTCGCGCCTCAAAGAGCTGTTCTAAAAGCACTTCTTCATTCGCAGTTGCATTAGAATCTAGTTGATTAACTTCGGGAAACTCTTGAGCAATTGGTACGAGACATTCGAACTTTTCACCCGCACTCGTGCTAATTAAGATATTCTGACTCAACGGGCGATCCTCTGATCCGTCCTTACTGAAACTCCACCTAACTTTGTACAAAATTTCATCGCTAATCTCATAGGATGATAAACCGAACCGGCACAACAGAAGAATAGTAAAAATACAACCGAACGTGTACATAACGACTGTCGGCGTTCGGCCTGCAGCGCAGACGGGGAACAAGGCACTGGTTGGTCGATATGAACGGGGAGGGATCGGATGCTGCTAATAGGCCCACAGCAGAGTAGAAGCCCATGGCTGTTAAATTCATATTGTCGGGCGTCACGTCAGGGCTCATATTTGTATGGCAGCTGGAGTGGAGAGGTGTGAGCCTAATCGTGCTCTGGTGGATGACAAGAATGTGTGACGAAACGTAAATGTAACTGGGCCTGAATAACGATGAATCAATTCAGGTATTATTTAAGTTTTAGTGGAGGTTGCAGGCAGACAACCGACTTAGTCAATAAAGAAGACTGGAAATGAGAGTATTCACAGGCCACCCGTTTTCTGACATGGAGTAAATGTGACGGATTCCATCAGGTGTTTCTAGTGTGGCGTTTTGTACCTTTGTTTTACTTCCATTATAAACTACGTATTTTATAACACTACGTATTTCATCAATTGCATAATCGTTTTTTGTTTGAATACGAAAAACTACAAAAACGCGCACATGTACAATTTCAGATAATACAAGCCTGGTCACGTGCTTCGACTCTCTCTTCTGATTTTGCTCGCGCTTGCAGTGGTCATTCGCGAGTCTCATGTACTAACTCTGGTACCAAAACCTTTCAGACATCTTCGGAATCTATTATATGTGGGAACTGTTCAGAAGAAGACCTCTGGACTAACATAATTGGATTATTGTTTAATTCGCTGACCTGGGCCAACGACGAACTATTTTAAAGAGAACAACTGTTAGTGAGTCTGTTCCATCTGATCTTTTTATTTTTGTATACCCAACCTAGCGTAATTATTTTTGTCTCTTTTCCACACACTCCTGGTAAACTAACTTATTGGGCAGCCAGACCATTACACTAGGATAGAAATCCTGGTAGTGGCGTAACGCTCTGAGAAAGCACGAATGAATTGCTCCGAATTTGGTCTAAAATTTGTCATTAGCATAGATGAGGCACCCATCTAGTGGGCGCGATTACCTTTCTGGGTTTAGTGGACAGTGGTGGTGGGGCAATCATTTTGAAGCATTTGGCCGGACATTGCCCAGTTCATTCTCGTTATCCTTGACGTAAGGTAAAAACATATTTAAACCGGGTGCTACCCTGTTGCACCTAGTCACTTGTATGCCCAGCAAGATAGTCATTTCAATTTGGTTTATTTCTTTTCTCTTTTTCGTCGATGGCGACGGAATAGCACCTTGGCCAAAGGACTTTTGGCGCACAGCTGCCCTTTTTAATCAAGATGACCTCTCTTCTGAGGTGAGGCAGGTGAGTGGCAAGTACTTAGGCGTTGGTGAAATGGGAATGAGGACATGATAGTGGAGTTAAACAATTTGGCGAACCCCATGTGGCTTTAGATGTCGCCACTATCACATTGCAGTGCTTAAGTAAATTTCATGAAAGCCTTGGGCCGACAGTCCTACATTTTTTCTCCAGGTTGGGCTACCGTGAAATCTTCTGAAAAAGTAACACAAAATTCTGTGCCCAGCCCAGAAGGCGGATGCTTGAGGCTTCTTTTGCGGGACTGCACTTATCAGTTGAGTTTTCCAGGATGCTGACCCCTAAAGTTTCACCGAAAAGTTGTAGAAAGCGAAGCGCCAAACGCAAATTTTGAGATAGGAATTTTGCACCTCATAAACCACAATAGCTTTCACTTTGGTGGCCTCAATGAAGGTTGATTAGACCGACTTTTTGACGTGCATTCCGGAATCAGTTATGCTTGTTCGTGTTTCTTGCTTTGATTCTCACTCGCCATATTGAACTTTGCCTAAAACCGTAGTCAGATGGTCGAAAAATTTTTTCGAACTGTAGCATTCCTCTGAATTTATGCTCAGGAGCACGCTGCCACATTTTACTTTACGAGGGTCACAAGGATCCTTTATCAATCGTCTCTGTCGTTCGAAACAGAATGTTAGTTGGGTGGTTTGTACGAATATCCGAGGGCTAAACGTGTTGGTGAAGACACGGCAAGCCACCATGTGGAGTGCGGCAGTTTGTGGCTGACGGACTGGGAAAAGTTGAAACCACCAAGATCACGTACGGCTACTGCCGGAAGCGTCGATCTAGGTAGTTGAGCCAGGAGTTGATAACTTGAGTTGATTGTGGCCGACGATTGTTTCGTTCCTGGTAATCCTCGCGGTTGTGAGTCTATCTAGTGTTACTATCGATGGAAGTCACAATAACTCAACCGGAAACAGCTAATTGTCCAACTTTGGTAGCTTCGAGACTTCGCAGCTACAAATGTGAATATTTTTGGAGAGTTCTCTTAAACTAACTTATTTATGGCTATTTCGAACAAATATACGATCACGGTTGTAATGAGTACCGCGTATCCGGTCTTGGCCGACTGGCCGTTGACTTGAGATCGGAGGCACGGGTGATTTTCAAAATAAGCGTAGTTACGGAAATGAAGCTACCTAGAATCACATAACCCAGAGAGCGCGAGCGAACATTGATTGGTGTCCTGCTTCTCGTCGAATGAGCTTTGGCGGGGTTGTGCGATAACGGCTAAATCAAATATCCTCTTGGGAGACTGCAGAATCCTAAAGTCAGTCGGAAACCACGCATTAGTAAAGTGCGCAACGCCCAGGTAAATGTGGTTTCAACGCTCCCGACTGGAAAACCGTGGATTATATTTTAACTTATCCTCTCGGTAAAGACAGGACGAAAACTCTTATTATACGTTCCGGTTCATGAACAAATGAATGGAAAAATAACAAAACCCCGGCGAAGTGATTTCGGGTGGATAAAATCTCAATATTTATTAAAGGATCTGAAAATTTGAAGGGTACCTCTCGGACGTTATTAGGAGCCTTCAGGAATTAACCAGATATCAGAATTTCAAAGTGATCACTAGAGCCGTTTAGCTCCAAATCAAATGTCAAAGATGCGGTTTTCGGTGAATCTTTCCAGTAGTTGCCTGGGAAAAATGATAGAAATAGTACAGTTAATTATTTTGGCTCGGTTTTCCACCTAGTCCACCCTACCCTAGTAATGCCGCCTTCTTCAACTATCGGAGGATAGAGTTTTCGTCAGCAGTAATGCTTCGCGGTATCTGGGTTCTTCGATGAGCCGAAAGACCAGCTCCCCGTTTAAAGTATGTACCAAAAGTGAAATCTTAGTGGTGGTTGATGGTCTGACAAACAGGCGTTCTGCCAGCCCTGGCACTCCGGCGTATCGTATCAGAACAGGGATTCATGTTTGAAGAGGCGGGATGCTTGAAGCAAGGCCCATCCCAGATGTTGGAGAGCAGTACGTGGACCCTCAACGTTTACGAGTTTAACGGAAGTTTCGAATGGTGCAGTGTACGGTCAGGCTCTTTAGGAGATGCAAATAGCCTAAAAATCAGCTGAAACAGACATCACTGTTCCACTGAGACCGCAGTGCTTCATGTAAGAAGTGCCGACAGTGGAATCACTCTGTGAGCACTACAGAACTGAAGCAACTATTATTACCCGACGCTCATTCGTTGAGAGCTTCCACGAGAAATTCCATCATAGCACGTGGTGAGTTTGTTTCGCTTGGCCTAGTGATTGGGATCCCATAAGTTTTCGTAACATCCGAATGCATATAGTGACGATTAAAGAAATTCTTCTTTGGAGTCACTTAATCTGAAACAAAACAGACCCCGACAAAGGATTTTAGGGTACTTCGCCCGAGGGCCACAGTTTAATATAACGATTCACAGCCTTCACTTCTTAAAGCGTCTGAAGAACAGTTGCTCCAGATGTAAGAGTTTGGCATTAGTTAATTTGGCCAGAGATTTACCGAAAAATTCCATCCTTCTATTTCCTGCCCATTAATTCCTTCCAAAGTCCAGCAAAGACCAGAAATTCAAGGATGCCTGTAAGATCCGGACGGTTAAGGATCTCACAGGACGATTGCGACTATTAGATTATACGCACCTCGTAGCCAGTAGTCAATAGGAGCAGACAGACGTGGGGCAGTAGATGATATGTTGAAGACTGACAGGAACTGGTTCTACAGAAAAACGGATCAGTAAGCATCGTGAATTAAGAAAACGTACAATCAACAATGACGCAATCTGCAGGAGCGGGAAGTAGTCACTGTCACAGCACGGATTTCTATAGGGGCAACAAGAAGTAAGTACCAAACGATGTACAAACATACATATCGGGGCAGTCTGACAGTGTGAGTTGGCCGTAACGGCGCAGGAGTCAGTACGTTCGGGATGTGAGGGACTGTCTTTCGGTCGGTGTCGACGCAGCCGCTCGTGTCGCGCGACAGGTCAGATTGCGCGGTTTCGGCCGTTTAAAACAAAGCTCAGCAGGGGCTATCTGGCAGGTGTGATACATAGATAATACAAAATAAACAGCCACGTCGGACGTCCGGTTGGTGTAGTCGGTGACGCGTTCGCCTGCTGTCCGCAGACTCTGGGTTCGATACCCGGTCGGCGCGCTTTTCGGTCGGAGTGGACGCTCGTGA